ATTGATTGATTGATTGATTGATTGATAGGGCGCCTGCGCCGTTCACAAGAGATGGCTACATTGGGTTATGGTGTAGTCAACCCCTGTTCCCGTTCTGTTTCATTCTCAAATGGATGCTTGCTCGGTTCCATTGTGCTATCTGCTCTGGCTTTGACTACTTGGACTTCAGTCTCATTTTGCAATATGGATTTATGTGCTTCGTTCATATTCATGTTTCTTGCATTTGTCAAATATTCAATCAATCAATCAATCAAACAGTCAATCAATCAGTCAATCAATCAATCTATCAATGAACTGAGTCAATGAATAGACTGTTTGATTGAAAGGTCGTACGGCAGGGCATAAAATATTGCGAGCTTGCCATTGACACTGTGATGCGTCGTGGTGAGCCGGTGACATTGATGGTTGATGGTCGATATGACTTTGCCAGAGGCGAACAGCATTGCACTGTCACTGCAATGGAGTACGAGACTCGGTTTGTTGTAGGTATTCACACTCTCCGTCCGAAGATTGAAGGCAAGGCATCGAATGCGCTTGAGGTGCCAGCCGTCGTGCAACTTTTGCGAGGGCTGATGGACAAGGGGTTGAAGATCCGGTGCGTTGTCTCGGATGATTGTGCGGCGCTGGGACCGAAGTTGCGAGCTATGAACATCGAGTGGCAGAAAGATTGCCACCACAAAATAAAAAACATTTGAAAGCACTTCCACAGTATGCTGCAACTGAAGGAAGCGAAGAAAGTAAGCAGCCCGCACGACTGTGTATCAGACGCGCAGTTCATGCAGTTCACGAAGAAGCGGCTAAAGGAGGAGTTGGAGCAGCGTTTTGGACCTGACGTCCTCACACCTGCTGAGGAGCGGTTGAAAAATCGGACTTCGTCGCTGTCGTCATGCGTAAGATGTACCCCTACGGATCAAGGTTGAATCCTCGAGCGCTGGAGGCTGATCCAGACGGCTTGACAGAGTATCATGCGCATGAGGTTGGGATGTGGTTCCTCTGCGCTTGCCAGCTGTGCAGGGACGAGGGCGGAGACGCGGACAGTCTACACCGCAACATCATGTTGGTCGCCGATCATTGGGCTGGTGATCATTCAGGATGTGTGGACGGTAGGGAGATTCTCTGCGAGAAGGCCGGTGGGCGTGCACGATTGCCTTTGTGTAGCCGCACAGACACGGTCTACGAGCTCGTTCTACGTGTTCTCGATAAACAATGCAGCACTAACATCACGCCGTACTACGTCGAGTTTCGGCACACATCGGCGGTGGAGACTTTTCAGGGCACCATCATTATCTATGCGAAGAAGTCGGTGCATTTCGAGAAGTCTTTTTGCCCACGTTTGTCGATCGCAGTGATTCGTTGGAACAGTCACTGCTGGACCGACCCGGTCGGGTATGATGCTCGCATTGCTGCGGGCACTTCCATACGTGCGAGACCAGGCCTCCGTCGACACTACGGTCACGAGGCGATCGACTGTTGGAAGGACAGATTGGCGGCGTCAGTGTTCGGTTCGGCTCATGTTTCAAACTGGGCTCGAGAGCTTCTGCAGCATGAGGTTTGTCCTTATGGAGCCGGGTCATTGCCGCATGATTTGTTCGTCAACGGTGGGGACGACCCAGTGGAAGTCGTTGATGATGCTGCCTCGGATTCCGACCATGAGGCGGTGGGRGAGAACCGTGTTTTCATCATCGGTCACGTGGAGGACGATGCGGTGCCTGCATGCGATGATTGGGTTCAGACATCGAGCTCCGAATCTGAGGGTGACGATATAGAGTTGTTCAGCGTTTGACTGGTTGAATGGCTTTATCGTTGACCTGACATCGGTKTGGTCATCCGAATTTMATTGTGCATGGCGTTGTTCACACACATGTCATGGTGTTTYGTTTGTTACGCTACATTATRTCCGTCTCTTTACTTKTATATACATCTCTATTTTTGGTCAGTCTGACTTCCAAGACTGATGGCGAGGTTGTATACTACCCCCTATGGTTACATTTGTAATTTTGTTCGACTGAGGGCTAATCCTGMGACGAACCTGTGAGGAAAATTTGTGACGGCCATATCTGTAAATATGGGAAATACGGGCCCAACAGTATTTCGAATTTCCTATACATACCCTTGCTGCGAATAGCAGGCCCGGACTACCCCCAGGACAGACAGATCCTAATGGACTAAGCTGATAGACGGTTCTATAGCCCATAGTCGGGTTCGGTAGAGGCCGAGAGGCCGAAACTGCAACGGTGTTGGTCGSTTAGTCAGTCCGGTATAGGTGTAGGTTAGATTAATGTACTCTATTAGTAGAATGAGGGAAATCGATTGGGGAGCAAGGGACTGGAACAAACTCTGTTATGATATTCGTTCGAGTTGGTTCATCATCAGCATCATATGAATTATGATCTTGCTGAGCTTCTTTATTGTGATTGTTTGTTGGGAGTCTGTCGAAGAGTGAGAGTCATTGTTTGACCTCCCCCATCTGTGCATGGTTGAATCTCGCTGCTTATCCTTGTCTGTGTGCAGTTTTGATTCTGTCACCTCTCCCCCTCTTCTTATGCATGTGTGGGCGTGTTTGAGATTGTCTGTGTGCGAGTGCCGGAAAAAAATCGTCGGACAACCAAGTGATATATATATATATATATATATATATATATATGTTTTTTGGTTTTGTTTTTTTCACACATCTGATGGTATCTTATGTGAGTTTTTTGAATTTGAGTGGCGAGAGCAAGGATTAGAATCGTTTTTTTTCACACATCTAATGGTACAATGACATACAATTGCAAAATGAAATAAATGAACTTCAAATAAGAGATCGAGGATTATAAGAAGAAGAAGATGATGTACACGAGGTAAACCAAATTTTGCATAATGCAATCCCTGCAAGTCACGACAACAGGAAATGTCAGTTTCCAGACAAACACACACTCTGACTTACATACGTACTCACACTGAAGGCAAGCATTCTCTCTCTCTCTCTCTATCTATCTATCTATCTATCTATCTATCTATCTATCTATCTATTTATCTATCGATCAATCTATCTATCTATCTCTCGTGTCGTGAAGCATTTACCGCCGTGCACGTCGACGTGGGCGTGCGTTTTCAGGAGGATCACATTGTCGTAGTTCAAAACCTCGAATGATTGTATCTGGCCATCGTTCCCGCATTGCCGTTTGAAACTCATCTGGCAATATCCGTCGGAAAACGTGGAACCCGCACAACCGAGAAAAAGCGACATATYCATTGTAACGATTCTGCTTTGGTTCGAGATTTGCACGTCCAATAAGCAGATTCATGCACTGTTGCAGGTGCTCCTCCARCCCAGCAAAAGTTACAGCCTCCTCCAAAAGCGTTGCGGGTCCCGGCCACCGACTCCTAATCTCGGCGAYTGTCAGCTCCTCGTCGCGGAAAGGATCTGTATCTGTCCCATTTCCAAACACGACTGCGTCGGCCCGCACGCCAGCCATGCGTCGTCGGCGGTCATGTATGGGAATGGGTGAATATTATTCTGTCGCTTATATGTGAACTTGTAGAAATCTACAAAACACAATATCACGGGCACCAATGACCTTAGTACTGTACCTCCACATAACGAAAACGAAAAGAAATTTCACAACGCAAAGCAGGCGAATAAAAAAAAACTCAAAACATATAACAAACAYATGGGAGATGACGATTGCATATGTATACACAAAATGTGCAATATTTCAAACCATCATTTTGTCTCTCTCCATCAACGAAGAAACATAGGGAAAAAAAAAAAACGAACGGWACTCATCGCTGGATCGAACTGCAAGGATAAAACATGGCAGAGAAATCCTCGCCATCGGAGACAAAATAGGGCAGTGACACCACCAGCCGCCAGACACCGTCCCGAGCGACTGTCCCGTAGTGTGTGTATAGTATGCGATGCACAAGGGGGAAGACGATATCATACATCAAATCACCGTCGACCGGTTTGAGAACAAAGGTGCTGAAGTACGTGGTCGGCTTAGACATTARGACACGAACGTGTTCGATGGCGTGGTCAGGAATATAAGTCTCTGTAGTGAGCCTGACGACTCGTTCCTCGTCGACGCTCACAACGAAATGACGATCCACCTTCTTGTCTCCATTGCGGTATCCCAATGCATCGCCGACAGGATCTGTTACGGGAGTCATTGATTCGTAATAGTATACGGTGTCGCCGCCTGTCAGTTTTGTGGTGTGGTAACATCGGACAATCATTGGCGCGCAATGCATCGTCGCTTCTTTCGTATGGCGTTCAAAAAGTGTTGCAATTCACATGAAACCGACACCGTAAGTTATGAGCCTAACGATCGAGCAACGAATCACGCAAACATGATGTTCTGCATGTACCGCACGGGGAGCGGGAACACACTTTATACATATATATGAGATGAGCGGGTAGTCGCGGTCTCGAACACTGTCATATGTTAAAAACCTTTACGATTTTGTGAGTCAACCCACCTGTTTGGGACTAAGCATGAGACGACCGGGATAATGGTTCGTTGACACTTTGGTACTGTTGTCGGCAACCGTCCATTGGCAACACAGTGCGCTCATCTCCGTGGAGAAACGTACGGCGTTGTAGCGGCCTGTCGAGTTTGGAGAAATATCATGCGTTGGGTGCTAACCTTTCCACATGCTCGACCGCAACGACTGACACGATGCACCTTAGCAAATGACCAATCATATCGAAGTCGGGGGGTTCGCAGGCGTCGGGAACGACATCCGAAAACTTTTTTGCGTGCATTACAACCTCATCAAGGCAATCCTGGTCGTCGTACCCCAGCCCCGCCACGACCCTCAAAGCGAGGGTGTCATCGATGAACGCGTAGTACACACGTATTTTCGTGGCGACAACCCCTTCCCAGTGTTCAAATTCTCTTTCGTTTTCAGTATCGCGCTCACACACTGTCTCTCTCACGACGATATCCTTTCCAGCCACARCCTCTTTCACAACAACAACTACGTCGGCCATGTTGTGTCGCAAGGTCGAATAAGTGAACCTGRCAATTATGAACTGTCTCAATGGCTAGCCGACGACACTGCGAAAGTTGACGGCAACACAATACGTACGAAAAGCGACGGACACAATGAGTCGACTGACGCGGCTGCAAAAAAAAAGTAAAAAAATTATAATAATTACGAACAGTAGTACGTTGGTTGGTTAGTTGGGTGGGTGGGTGGTTGGTTGGGCGGTTGGGTTAGGTGGTTGGTTGGGTGGTTGAGCGGATGGATGGGTGGTTGTGTGGCTGGTTGCTTGGTTGGTTGGGTGGTTACGTGGGCGGTTTTGTGGTTTCATGGGTTGGTTGGTTGGTTGGTTGGGTGGTTGGGTGGGTGGGTGGGTGGGTGGGTGGGTGGTTGGGTGGTTCGATTGTTGAGTGGTTGGGTGGGTGGGTGGTTCGTTGTGTGGTTAGGAGGGTGGTTGAGTGCTTAGGTGGGTTAGGAGGGTCGGTTGCTTGATTGGGCGGTTGGGATGGGCGGACTCCAAAACATGGGGTGGTTGAGTGGTCGGTTCGGGGCTTGTGGTTGGTTGGGCGGTTGGAGTGGATGGTTGGGTGGCTTTGGTGGTTGGTTGGGTGGTTGGGAGGATCGTACATTTGGGTATTATATTT